CTGCGCACCTCAAAACCGTGCGTAATAATCGCGCGTAATGACTGCTCCTCATCAGTTAAACTGCACGTCTTTGATGTTTGTCTCACTGACAGGTGGAAAGCCTACAGATACTAACTACGAGCCGCTCCGTCACTGACTGCTCTTGTCCTGTCCTCTCCCTCTTCTTTCTCTCCTGTCCTCTCTGACTATCACTAAACTCTGGCTTTTGAACAATGCAGGAGGAATGTTGCAGACAGTTTATATTATCAGCCTGGGCCTGGGGCTTGTTGTAACAGTAAATGGGATGTGTTGTAACTTGTGTAAGTTAAACTGTATCAGCGAGTGTACATCTTACCCTGCGCGATGTGGGCAGCCGGGTCCAGCCACACGCTGCAACTGCTGCCAAGTGCTAACGGCTGCTAGCCCCGCCCGTTGGAAAGAGAGTGGGATATACCACTACTAGGAATGGGAGGGGGGGACTAAATCTTTTAAGATTTAAATAGCATATTATTGCGCTTTTATAATAATTTTATAATAACAGCTTTATTGAAGGGGGAGTCATGTCCCCCCTGTCCCCCCTGTCCCCCCCGGGATTTCCGCTCCTGCATCCATATAAAATAAATGTATACATAAATATATCGTGGCACAGTATACATGATTCTTCAATATAGGTTTTGATGCTTCACTAAAGTTGATTACCTGTCATGCTCCTCCCCTTTTAAATAATTCTATGGCCTCTATACCTACTGCTTTGAGTGAGTCTGGATTACATCCATGGTGCTGTTTATAATGCTTGGCCATTCCTGTACGAATGGCACATTTGTGTATTTGTGATTCTCTCTTTCAGTTTTCTGGTTCTCCCCACATAAAAACAGCCACACAGGCATTGTAAATGTTACACTACATGACTTGTATTGCAGTTAATAAATCCCCTTATAGGTTTTCATGTAGTGCATAACCTTAAAGTTTTTGGTTTGTTGCAGGGTGTCACAATAATCACATCTCCCACATTTGAAAAGGCCTTGTCATCTGCAACCGAGCCAGGTGCCCTTTTTTTTTAAATCTCCCCACAGATAGCTGTGGACCAGCTTGTCTCCTGTGCAGCTGGTGCAGATGGAATCACGTCGCTTGCTATGATTTTCCAATTATTTTTGATGATTTTGTTTTATTTAATTTGCTCTGGTGTTGTACTGGGTCGCAGAATGAACCTTTTTGTTTTTCCTCTGATTCCTTTTGTTTCCAGTGCAGGAGATCTTGTCTTCAGTTTCTTAGCTTTATAGGCCTCGTTAAAGGTACTGGTTTTATAGGCTCTGTTTAGAAACCATATTTTTGGTCACAAATGTCCTTTGGATCCTGAGAGCACCTAACCTGAACCCTGCATCTGTGAAGTAGCACTCCTCAGCACAATCCACTTTAATTGTGCTTACTTAATGCTGTTAAAAGAAAAGGTGATGTCACACAGTGGTAAACATGCTCCTGTAACAGTGTTTTTGGAACAAGCTGCAGACATTAAATTCAGATTGAATGTAGATTTACAAGAAAAAGTATATTGAATATTAAATATATGGTCTTTGTACTCTATTTAACTGAATAACCAGTCAAAAGAGATTTGCAAATCATTGCATTCTGCTATAATTTACATTTAAAATAGCATCACAACTTTCCCAGGTGATGATAAGGTGCCCTGTAGGGTGCCGTTCCAGTGGACAAATGTCTTTATATGCAAGATAACATGCATGCTGGTTTCCTTATTTATTTTTGACAGCTCGAATCCGCCACTGCTCAGACCCAAGCCAGTTTGTTCTTACTGAAAGAAAAAATAGGTCATGATTATACACATTTAGAAATTACACAAAAACAGAGTGATTTCCTTGTTTAGCAAACATCACTCAAACAGGAGCTAACACTGTATTTGGTGGCTATTTGCAGCCACGTATTTGGTGCTCAACAGGATGCTGCATGATGGACTGACTCAAAATAAACTATAATGGCTGGATTCATCATAATGCAGGAGCGTGTCAGCCAGTGCGACGATATGACTCAGTGATGTGCTTTTTTTAGTTGTTGGACAACAATGGCACTCTACTTTTTATACATCGAGCTTGGGCCAGTTTCAGAGGAGGCTCCGCGGCTTGCAGGCATGATGGATGTGCCTCTTCTCCCCTGTAGTCTGATGGGAGGCACGTGAACGCGAGGGGGCAAAGGGGTAGTCTAACAATACAATGGAAGCACTGCTAATGGGCTCGTGACGAGGGATTTTGGCACAAATCTGGGTGAGGGAGCCATTTGAGAGATGTTCTGCCTTTCTTTAACGCTTATACAGTCACAAGTGCTCTTTAGGGTGATATTCTGCACACAGTATGTTTTATATAGAGTCTACATTTGCAACTTTACAGACTTCCATGAAGCTGGCATTACTTTCATATGTATGTGCATTTAGAAAGTGCATATAAACTTAAACAGTCTATTTTCAGTGGTGAATGATCTGTATTCAGCACCTATCACTGTACAGTTTTCATTCCATTTTCATAATATTTCATCATTGTCTTTTCCACCTTGGGATATAGCCACAGGGAGCTATAAGCTGTATCTACTTTCCTTGTACCAGTTTTAAGGTCTGGCAGTATTGAAGACTTTTGTACCCACAAATGGAGTGTCTTTTCTTTGATGTATTTCAAATTACCGTCATAGAAGGCAGAAACTATCTTTGGCTAAAACTCTCTGAGGCACACCTAAACTTTCATGGCAGATGTTCAATTGCTTTTTCCTCCCACGCCCAATACAACATGCCCTGAATTTCACCTCTGGCTCCCGTGGTCCTGTTTCCTCCATGTGGTCCCATCTAGATCTACGCAGCAACGCCAAAACACTGCTGGAGGTTAGAGGGTTCATTTCTTATGAGGCGTGATGGGTATACTGTGAAAGTTAACACCGCCAGTGGAGATGATCGTGTATTGGGAGTGTTATCTTTCACACACAGTACAGTACAGTTCCTGGGTGAAAACTCAGAACACTTTAACAAAACAGAAACTAACAGGATCCCAGAAAATAAATCACTGAAGCTGAATCCACGGTAGTTTGGGGACATATCAAGCTGCATTTTTTCAAAAATAGGGAACAACTGATGAATATGATGACTGCACAGATTCATCAAAAGTATCATAGTGCTGGAAAGAAGAGAAGTTCTCCAATAAATAACATTGCCATTCTTTTCATTCAACCTTTATTTAAATCTCAAGGAATTACTGAGGGCATGCACATTTTTACAATGCTGGAGAGTACAATTTAAACGAAAGAAATCAAACAACGATCAATGAGAAAACAAACTACAACAGAACACAGAAACACATTCAAGAGTGGAGTAGTATGTAATCATGGTTTTAAACTGACAGTTTTGTGTGCTGCAACTTGTTCAAAGTGTGTGCAGCACAAAAACTAAAAGCAGTTTTCCCAAATTCTTCAAGGGACTTCAAGCATTAGCCAATCATTGAACAGCCAGTTTAATAAAGAACTGGTATATGAGGGTTTTCTTGCAGGTGTTTGTATGCGTCCATGTGCAGTTTGCATTTTGCATCCATTACTGAGTGATAATTATGGCTGTGGCTCAGGAGGTAGAGCTGGTTGTCCACCAATCGGAAGATCATCCCTCAATCCCTAGCTCTTGCAGTCCATATGTCAAAGTATCCTTAGACAAAATATACCCAGCCAACATTTGTATGTGGGGCGCACATGGGCTGACAAATGGGCCCTACACTGGATTGTCCATGTGTTCCATATTGGCCCCATGCCAGTTGCCCACATGGGTGGGTTTGCCAAGTGGGCCCCACACGGGTCATGCTGGGGCTACCTGGGTACAAAGTCGTTATGGGCCCAAAAAGGGCCGTATTATCTGGGGCCCACTTGGGTAAACCCACCCACATGGGCAAATATCATGGGGCCAATATGTATCCCATGGACAGTCCTATATGGCGCCCATTTTTCAGCCCATTTACTACCCTCGGGAGGCGGAGTACACCCTGGACAGGTGGCCACACTATCACAGTGCTGACACAAAGAGACAGACAACCATTCACACTCACATTCACACCTACGGTCAATTTAGAGTCACCAATTAGCCTGCATGTCTTTGGACTGTGGGAGGAAGCTTGAGTACATGGAGAAAAGCCACACATGGGCTTAGGAGGCAGAGCTGCTCGCCCATCAATCAGATGATCATCAGTCAATCCCCAGCTCTTCCAGTCCATATGCCGAAGTATCTTTGGACAAAATACTGAACGCAAAATTACTCCTATGAGTGTGATGCATGTAATTGTTTACAAACTTAGCCTCCTGTGTGTCAATCAGCGAATGTGACATGAATTGACAGCTATATTATTGCTACTATACTAATTCATTTTCACTATATAGTCTACATCCTATCTTTTCCTGATCCCCATCATTGAATTTGTTATGCAGTACTGTTTTTACAGTTTTATAATCGCCAACTCTAATCTAATCTAATCAAACATCTAATACTGGATGAGAAAAAGGAGATAGAGAGCAAAGATGCCATCCTTAAAGTTATACTATGCAGGATTTTTCTAACAATCAATGTACAGACTCATAAAGAAGAAATGCCTCTCAATCATCACTTATGACCCACTGGGAGTGTGCTCTGCCCTCTCTTTGGGACATTGCTGGGTGTGTACCCCCACAGTGCTCAGGTGAGGCCGGGGCTTAATAAAAATGTAGCCAGGTGCCAGACTGTAAGCAGCAGGCAAGAGAGGCAAGAGACACAGCGCTGAAAAATTGCAAATATAGCAAGGCAAAATGCCAAACAAGAACACATCTGGGGCAGGCTTCAACTATCACTGTTGGTGCTGAGCCGCTAATAAACAGTAATGGACATTCCTGCATAGTATAAATTTAATAAAAATGTAAGCCCTGTCAAAACAGTTTTCAAACTAAAACGATCTTTCAAAAATGTGTTCAAATAACTGCTGAATGTTGTCACATTCTTAAAAGGGATTTTATTATGAAGGCAAAATTTGAAATACATTTCAATACAATGCGCAGCTGATACAAGCCTACAAAAATGATTATTAAATACGCAGTGCCATGTGCAGCCCAGCAGGAGGCAGTGTAATGACATTGCTGGCACTTCAAGCTGAATATCCATTTTTAGATATTTTTTATTTCCCACCAAGCAGTTCACTCATCACATTGTTCCAATGCTGTGTAAGGTCATACTGCTCAAAGGGCAGGAAGTAACATCCTCACAGATCAAGTCCATTCCCTGTTCTTCTCTCTGAGTTACACAAGAGTATCTTGGGCCTTTTTTTCAAAAGGTGTCATCTATATGTTCTTGCAGCCTCTCTCCTCTGGTGCTGAGCCTGTGTCGCCTGAAAAGAGAAGAAAAGTGTCCAATTTAGATCAAACAGCAGTGACAAACACTGGCGCGAGTAAACATGACAATGGTTTTGTCAGCAGACACAGCCCGGCCTGTCATGCCTCTCTTGCGTGTCACTTAAGATGCAAGCTGTGTAGCATTTTGCTGTTTTCATCTTGTACCCTTAGTTTTTTTTGTCCTTTAAAGCAACTCCTACCAGTGTCTTATTTTCTCTCAGCGTATGGTTTTATTATCAGGGCAGAGCCTGAAATGAGATTTGTGCCTGCCAGTGTCTGTGTGCATTACTGTACCTCCACAGCAGAAATGCCAGCACTCCTCCACACAGCAGCAGGAGGACGGCACACAGCACAGCCACTGTTGTCCCTCTGCCCTCTGTCTCGCAAGGTGCTGTCAGGCAGGAAAAAACACACCCAATGAGGGGGGAAAATAACAACATCATCTGACATGGCTGCCCTAAAAGGCCGAAAAGGTCTCCCGCAACAAGTCTGTACAGTCACTAAACTGACTGGAACAGCAAGAGCTAACAGGAGGTGTCCTGAAATACCCCGGCTGTCTTTGGATCATCGCGCCTCTTGGCAGATTCGTAGAATTGCATTTGTCTCGCCTGTTTAGCAACAGTGGTAGCAGCAATAGTGGCGGTAGTGATTTATTGATCGCACTTTGGAAAATCCTTTATCACTGAGACACCACCAGAGATACAATACACAGAGCAAAGTGCAATCAGGACACGGCTCAAGATCGACACGACGCGCGGTAGAAAGGAGTCTGATTTCTGAATATCCATGGCACAGTGAGCTGGTTTTAGAGATGCCACAGGCGCCTTTTATCCAATAGATAAATAATAATATCCAATAACAAATAAGACATAAGGATTATCCTGATCTCATAATCTTCAGTTGTAAAATAATATATTCAGGTGCTTCATGTAAGTAAAAGTAACAATACAGCAGTGTAAAAGAAATACAGGAAAATGTACTTAATCAGTCAAAATATATAGCATAATAAGGCATGCTTGTCCCCTTGCAAAGTGTTTCATTGTATTATCACTAATGTATTAATGTAGATGCAGGATTTGTAAGTTGGTCAAAATGGAGTAAATTCAGTGTAGGACATTTGGCGCCCTCTGCAAGCTCTCAAGTTCTAGTGGAAATAAAACTGCACTGCTCTGAGTTTGTGATTTATACTTCACTAACATCACCACTAACCACGCATATTTAATCTAACTCATCATTCAGCACGAGCAATAGATGCAACAGCCTCTGTTATGATGATTTCACTTTGTCTGTTGTCAATGCATTTCAGCCACTCTCTAGGAATGTTTTGCAGTTGAAAATAATTTTTCCAGTATATGTAGTTTGTGTTTCACTACAACGCTGCAAAATGGTTTACACCCGCTTTCATGTAGAACATCAGGGAATTGCCTTACACGGTCTTTAGTGGTTATTTTAGTTGGTAAATGTGAGACATTTGTGTCGCACATGTCTGCATCTTCAGCACCAGAAACAAAGAGGTGAGTTTGGTGACATAATGCGAGGGACTGCTATGACTGGTGGAACTACGAGGTCAAGTTTGTGGAAAAGTTAGGGTGATTGCGAAATTGCAAGGTTGTGCAGAATTCATAGGGATTGGTTGAATTTGCAACACTGAAACATCTTGAAGCGGCTGACTATCATTTTGTCATTGTTAATATAAAACTATTGATCAGTGCGGCTTTAAGTTTGGTAAATAAAGCTACCTTGCTAGCCATACATTTCTAAAACAGCATTATTCCTTTCTTAGAAGAACAGAGAAACAATATGTCGTCTCGTACCTGCAGTATAGGTGGCGGAGCTGTAGCCCAGCTTGTTGCTGACCATGCAGGTGAAGTGGCCACAGATGGGAGTCTTGTTCACAAACAATGTTGTTCCATCTTTGGAGACTATACCCACAGTCTGAGTGATGGCCACTCTCTCGTGGAGCCAGCTGAAGTGGGGCTCCGTGCCCCAGGCCTCTCCACAAACCAGCGAGGAGTGAGACACGTTGATGCTGACTGAGACGTGGTGCACCGCCTCTGTAGAGACAGATGAGAGAAGGTGAGGACAAGAATGAAAGAGCTGATGAGGACGAAGGTAAAAACTCCGAGCCCGGATAGAAAGAGCAGCCATGGGCATCCCTCTGTTATAAAATAAGAATAATGGCACATGGCTCTCCAAGAGGGCCTAAGACAAAGAATCATGGGAGACGTTTAATGCTGTCAGGAGAAACTGGCTCAGTTTCAGAGACAATAATGAGACTGGAGAGTGAGGTATAATGTCGGAGAATGGGATGATGGAAAGCCCTGGAAGCTGAGAGAGCAGATGTAGAGAAGAGTGATGAATTGATACTGTTAAAGCAGACAGATGAGAGTAAATGCATAGCAGCTTTGACAGAAAACTACAAAGCTACAATGAGACGTCGAGAAGCACGGAAACAAAGGGAAGAGCCGGCAAGCGAAGCCTATAGGCAAATTTAATTTCAAGTGTTTCATTGTTAAATGAGACATCCACAATCGGAAGGAAACAATGGCTGCTGGCGTGAAATTAAACAAATTCATTATACTGTTGGTAATTGTTGGAGTTAACACTAGAAAGGCCGGGACATCGTCAGCTGATGAGCATTTGAAATGTTTCTGCTGTCATGGCATCACCCTTACAGACCAAATTTCTCTACACACTACCTCTGTAAGCTTTTAAAACAGATAAAGCAAAGACAGCGATTTGTTAGCTGTTGGCTTAAACAACATCCACTGATCCTTTACAACCTTAGGGCCTTTTTCTTACCTATAGTTTACAATTAAGGCTGCAACTAATTATTATTTTCATCACCCATTTGTTTATCAGTTTATTTTTGCGACTAAACAACTGTTTAATCTATAAAATAATATCAGAAAATATGAACAAATGCAAATCCCAATTTCAAAGAGTCCATATTATCATCTTTTAATTACTTCTTTTGGCTCAAAAAGCTTCAACATTGTTTCCAATATAAAGAAAATTAAGCCAACAAAGATAAAAAATGCTTAAAAAAAAGCTCCGTCTGTTGATAAAGAAAATGTAACATAATTGAAAGCTACTAAATGGACCTTGAGGGTGAGAGGGATTTGTTGACAAAGGAGTTAAAATTAAATGAGATTTGAACACAAAACTGCAAATCCTCTAATTGGAGATGGGCCCTTCAAATGTTGGTAATTTTTGATTTAAGGGATAACAAAGAGCTACATCACACTTAGTTTTAGCCCCTTTTACAAATTAAAAAAAGAAAAGCATTCAAGATGATGTTTCCTCACACTTGAGGGTGTTTTGTAGAACAGACAGAATTGTAATGAATGCTACAGAATAGGACCAGGATCACTTGATCGTGTAATAAAGTGACTGTATATATAATTAAAGCTGTTACTCTTTGAAATCATTAATTGATTAGAAAGATTGTTGTTTTATTTTCAGTCAATTAACCAATTTTCTCAGCAGTACCTGTAACTAAAGACTATAAATTCCCTCACACGCTGTTTATCACACTGTACCGTATTTCCTGACGATGCATCCTGCAAAGGTCTTGACCCCTTTCTGATCCGTCACAGTCACAGTGTACACGCCGCTGTCTGCTCCGCTGAACCCATTTATCTGAAGTGTCGTCACCTGCCGCTCCATGTTCACATGAACATTTGGCCTCGTGCCACCACACGTGAAGCTTTTGCCGGGGCACGTGGCCAGTGTCACCCTGTCATGGCCGGTCCAAAGTTCGGACTCCCGCTCCCAGGTCACCACGGAGACCTCTTCCAGGGGTCCGTGCCCGATCTCAGCTTTCAGGACCAGACTGGAGCCTGGGATCACGTGCACAATCTCCTCGTTGAGGATGTGCACTGACATACACTGGAGCCCACATGGCGCTGCAGACAGAGATTGGACCATATGTTATTGCATCACACTCAGGTGCAGCATACAGCTGATGACCAGTACAAGCCACAGAATTTCATCTTCATCAGTTTTGACCTTTTGGCTTTCGGAAAGTTTGCATTGTTTGGGCTGAACAGGGAGCTAATAAAACAAAAAGTAGCAAAATACTTCATCTCCGTCCTCAGCAAACACTTTATGAATATGTATGGCTGCTCTCTGTCAAACAATGTCAAGCGATGATTTATAGCACATCACAGCCATGCCTAATGCGATATCCATCACACCACATCACTATCTTAAAATCTGTGTCAAATCAGCAGCGGACCTGGTAAGCCTCTGTGCATTCACCACGAGGAGTATTAATCAAGCGTCTTAACTTGATAGGCATAGGATGGAGGAGATGTAAATAATGCAAGTGTGGGCATTAATGCAAAAGGCAGATTACAAGAGTTCCTTTGCATTTGTGTCAGGGTGCAGTGCTGAATACATTCTGTTTACTCCCTGTACTTTCAAGCAGGTTTTTTAAACAGAAATCATTAGGATGGTGGTTACAAAAAAAAACCAGCCTTACTCAAGAGAAGCAGCAGGGCAACTTTCCAGCTCAGGAAATACTGTAGATCCATAACACCTGCTGATGTAGACAGAGAACAGAGAGAGGAATTTGTCCATGACCTCAGCAACAACACGCACATTTCCTCTGTACTTGTTCAGCAGGGGTGCCACTACAGCAAGAATAAAAACACCACCTCCAGAGAAAATGTGAAATTAAAATGAGAGCAAAAAACAATTAAAGCAGCATGTCCCTCCTATTAGAAAAATGTAATCCAAATGTTTAGGGTATTCTTTCCTTAATTTATTTGTGAACTATCCAAAGAACAACAGCATTGGCACCACACACTGCACTAGAATCAGAAGTTGGAAGGAAATAAGGACGGGTCTACTGCCAAAACTAAAATGAACCCCCTCAAGCACAGCTGCTACAACAAAACACAGGGAGAAGGAGCAGCGATAGCAGTGCAGGAACCCAGCCTGCATGCATTAAATATAACCTGGAATCCCCATTGCTGTTTACCTTGAAGTCATCCACATCAAAAGCCCCAGAGTGGGATTCACCTACCTCTCCAAAACCGAGACAAACAATACAGTCGAGCCACTTCACTTTCTCAGAGGTTAAGGTGCAGCGCAATTCACTCTGCGAGTATATTTATGGCCCAACATAAAACAATATCTTCAAAGCAGTTGCCATTGCATTGCGAGAAATAATCTAGTTAGAGATGACAGCTCCAGAATCTACAGCTGCTCCTGCGAAACAACATCAAACTGGAGTTTAGCTAAATGTTTCAGGACTTTCTTCTCCTCTCTGCTCGGCTTCTCCTCAGCCTGTCAGGTCCTGTCCGTGAGTCACATAGGCGTCACCTTGTTTTTAAGCGGCTTCCTCCCCCTCCCCGACTCCCGCTCTTTCCTGTACAATAGAGGCTCATTTCTGCTTTGTGTTTTTAAATAAATGAACTTTCCATTGTAAGACCCAACCTGCCCCCCCCCCCCCCCCCCCCCCCCCCCCCCCCCCCCCCCCCCCCCCCCCCCCCCCCCAACCTCCTCTGACCTGCGTCCGATCACGTGCTTACGTAACAATACAACATTTTGGATTTGGATTTTCACACCACTGTTGTTGTACTATTTGTAAACAGATAAAAAGGCAGTGGTATTCTTGTTGAAGGGGAAACCATGACAATGTTGGATCTCATTATGAAATAGGCTTTGTACTGCAGCCTTCTTATCCAGCTCGAACACTATTTGCCCCGCAGACATAATACATTGCCTTGGCTTTGGATTGTAAAGAGGAGGTAATACATGAATTACTCTATTCTCATTATTTTTTCTCAATAACTGTCTCTCGCATGCAACTGAGAAACACCTTCAAGCATGTAAAGGGGAATGTTGATGATTTCATTCTTGTTCACAGCGAGGATATTCAGTCTCTGTGAAACTGGAGAAAAAAATGTGCTTAAAAGACAGAAGTGGGAGCAAGTCGTTGTTTGCGAGTCACAAGTAACTCTCACGTCTTTGCACTCAACTCCCAAGTCAACACAGGCAGGTCTCGAGTCAAGTCCAAAGTTACAGTCGGTGGTTCTCAAAGTCAAGGATCCTTCCTTGGTAGGACAGGTCCTTCCAAGAAAGGATCAGTGTACTGTGATCATTTTGGCACTCTAATGTTAGGTTTGTTCGAGATGAGCCAGGCCTGCGCAGATTCGATCACCGGCGATCGCCGTACAATGCATGCCGGTTAGTTTTGTGTCCGACTTCATCCCGACTTGCTCTGACGTATTACAAAAGTGGACCGCGATAAAACTGTGAGAGCAAGGCGGCCGCAGGCGACTGCACTGCCTGGCTCTCACCTGATCTAACAGCTGATTGGTTCAGATGTCGACTCAACAAGATGACGTTTTAGATAAACTACTCATTTTTGTTGAATTTTAGAGATTAAGATTGTATTTGTCTGACCTGAGGGTTTATTCTGTGAACAGAAAACATGTTGTGTGACTGATGGTGAAAACAAACGGATATATGGGTCTGATCACTTTTTTAATGAATTGACATCATTCGAGACAGGATGTTAGTGTGTCTGTGACTTCCTGCACGGACTGAAGGCTACTGGAAACTGTCGGGAAATTGTCTGACTTCACCGCAGCTTTTTGTCACCGCCCCCTGCTGCGGCAGCCTGCTCTCATGTACTTTTAGTATTTTCAGAGTCACATGACTTTTAGGAAGAATATTTCTGGGTTACACTTGAAATACTAATACTATTACTATATACTTTTTAAATTAATTTGGTGCGGCTTCTGCAGTGATGCGGGCACTGAGTCAGTCCGTCGTGGTGAAGAAGGAGCTGAGCCAGAAGGTGAAGCTTTCGATTTACTGGTCCATCTACGTCCCAACCCTCACCTATGGTCATGTGCTCTGGGTAGTGACCGAAAGAATGAGATCATGGATACAAGCGGTCGAAATGAATTCCTTCGTGGGGTGGCTGGGCTCACCCTTAGAGATAGGGTGAGGAGCTCGGACATCCAGAGGGAGCTCGGAGTAGAGCCGCTGCTCCTTTGCATCGAAAGGGGTCAGTTGAGGTGGTTCGGGCATCTGATCAGGATGTCTCCTGGGCGCCTCCTGTTGGAGGTGTTTTGGGCACGTCCCACTAGTAGGAGGCCCCGGGGTAGACCAGGACATGCTGGAGGGATTACATATCTCATCTGGCCTAGGAACGCCTTGGGGTCCCCCAGGAGGAGCTGGAGAGTGTTGCTGGGAAGAGGGATGTCTGGAATACTTTGCTTGCCCTTCTGCCCCCGTGACCCGGCCTGGGATAAGCGGATGAAAATGGATGGATGGATGTTTTATCGAAATCACGTTATTTTAAAAAGCTCATATCATGTAGCAGTGGACACATTGGAATGTGTAAATTATGAGGTTTCTATCAATATTGTTTTCATGCGTGTCTGATTAAAAACTCCCAGTGATATTGATGCAAATATATGACATGTTTATCAAAGTCTTGCTGAGCTCCACTGGTGCAGGTTTCATTGAAGAGGCTCCGCCTTCACTTCCAGCAGAATTGTGGGCTCTTTATACCCGCTGAGGATACACACACATGCATCCTTGCAAATTCTCTGAAGGAAGGACCAAGTCCTCGGAAGAATTTCAAGGATCCTTGACAGCGGAACCGTCCTTAGTCGAGATGTGATGACGCAGCATCCTTGAAATTCAACTATTTAAGGATGCTTCCTCAACTTTGAGAAATACCCAGTTATTTCTCATCTGCTTGGAAACATTTGTCCATTCAGGAGTTACATTTTCAAAACAGTTCCGACACAGGCCTAACCTGAAAGTCCCTGGGCGAAGTGCTCCAACACACACAATGCAACAAAACTAAATATTTCCAAACACCACAACCTGTGGTCAAATTGATACATTCTTCTGAACCGATTGAACCTTGAAGTAATTTGTGCTTTATGCCTGCACTGTTTGTTGTTACTTTGCATATAGTATGTGGCCAAAAAAGGCAAGCAAGCATATCACAGCAAGAACTATATTATTTTCTCCAAAGATGATTTTACTCGAGAACAAACCCTGCTGTACTCTGCACCTGCACTCTTACACTTTGAGATCAACTGTCAATGACATGTACGGACCTACAGCACCTGGAGTTTGACCTGTGTCGCATTACAATAAACATTTCTCATGCCGCAGCTTCTGTGCTGCATGTTTTTATTACAAAAGACCCCCCCTCCTTTTTATTTGTCTGAACCGCTACAGCATATAGGATGGACCTAGTCTTGTTTTCAATAATAATGGTCTCTTCCTCTTCATACACGCCTTTTCCTTTTTGTTGTTCCTCATGCTCGCAAATTGCAACACACAAGTGGCAACTTTCAAAGGTGTATACAGACTGACTGCTGGTTGAAGTGTTGTGCAAACAAGTTTCACACAGGTGCATTAGAGATTTATACTTATGAAGTAGTTTCTATCAGCTGTGAACAAAGTTAATTCAATAAAGTTGTGAAACCAATGAAAAAATATCCACACATTTGCAAGAGATGACTTCTGCTGTGCTAAGATGGTGATGATGAAGATCAAGTGAACTCCAGTTTCATTAAGTGTGTCTTAGCGACAGAGAGAAACTGTAGGATAGTCAAGTCCCAAGTTAAGACTGACAAGTCCAAAGTCAAGTCTCAAGTCCTCAGGTCCTATCAGAAGAAATATTCAGTCTCTGTGACACTGGAGAAAAAAATCTGCTTCATTGATAGGAGTGGGACCAAGTCGTGGTTTTGCAAGTCCCAAGTCAAGACAGGCAAGTCCTGAGTCATGTCTCAAGTCCTTAACCAACACATTCTCACTCTGACCTCGTCACATATTGATGTTTGGTCATAGACTTTCCATGTCCACATTCGACCTGCAAGGTACCCTGGGTGTGTTGGTTGTTGACGTTCTGGGACACTGTGTCAAGTTCAGCCTGTTACATGCATTGTCTTCTTTCAAGATATACTTCCACTTCACAGGAAATTGACCGTTTACATACAGTCTTATTCAAAATAAACGCACTGCGTCGGTACAATTGCCGTTTTTTTTTCCTTCAACAACAAACACCCGTGGTTAGGTTTAGGAAAAAAGAACAGGGTTTGGCTTTAGAATCTTACGGGACACAAACACCACTCCCTCGCGTGAAAGTCTGTCTTGGACCCAACTTTCGTCTTTGTCCCGCCGCATTTCCCCCTGACGCCGGGCATGTATCATGCTGACGCTGATAGTCATAAATGTGCTCTTCACCAAAATGCCATTTTAATATGTGTAATAATATATTAAATTTACAAAAATCATGATGCTTTTAAAAATGTGAATTTGTTAAAACAAGTGTCACTGAACTTGAACAAAAGCCCTTTTTGAACAGGAATTGCGCAAATTTGCAGGAAAGCCCAATCAGTTTTTTTCAGCATTGGCAGTATAAAAACAAAATTGGGGAGTGCAGCAAAATGCCGCCTACCTACTTTTGTTCAAACAGAATGGGCCTTTTTCAGACTTTTGCCGATTCTCTCATAAGTTGGCCCGTCCTTCACCGTCCCCGTCATTTGACGGTTAATGGCCTCTTTGTTTGCGAGGGCAAGGAGGGCGCCCAATTCCTTGTCTCCCCAGTTGCTCATCTTTACAGTGTCTTTCAGGTTTGTGTTTTCCTCTTGCTACTATCTGCTTGCTAATTCCTGCCATCAGCTGTTTCCTGTTTATCCACCGCCAGTGGGTCGCACGTGCAGCACCATCAACAGCTCCTCCCACAAGTCTTCAACAGCCCCTCCCGTTGCGGAAGGGCGCCTCGTTCTTTTTAAACCAAAAAGGTTCCGCCAATATGACTACCCTACGAAGGGGAAAATTGGGCACCTCGGATCAACTTGCCAATCTGCCTCTATGTCTATAAACACTCGCAGCTTGCCGGCAAAACGGCCCAACATTCGCTGAAAATCTGGCAGTGTAAAAGGGGCTAAAAAGTAGTGCTGACACAATAAACTAATACCACAATTAGCACATAGCACCCACATT